CCCCAAAACCCCAAAACCCCAAAACCCCAAAACCCCAAAACCCCAAAACCCCAAAACCCCTAAGGGGTATTTAGCTATTGAATTATAATATTAGACATCAAGCTGGAAGAAGTAGTGCTTAATTTTGGCAAGTAGAAATTACTTTAAAGAAAATGAAATCCACATATTTTCAAGGAGAATCTCCAGCTGATTAGTTGGGATTAGATCACACTCTCTTAATGTTGTTATGGTTGTGGTGGAACAACTTTGGCTTGCGCATCGAGATCCCTCTATACATAATGATTAGTTGGCATACCTTTGCTCACTGTTAAATTCATCTTTGTCTAAAGCCTCGAATTCAAGAAAGGTTGGGGTGACTTGTAACTTGTTTTCATCCTTCTGAGAATTTTCCTCTATAAGTGAATCATGAGATTTAGGTAAGCAGTATTAAGTCTCTTTTCGTGTAAAGGAGTAGTTTACCTTCCATTTTATTTTCCTCGAAATTCTTCTTGGTGATATACTTGAAATCAAAAAAATCAGCTATGAAATTAGACCTTAATGGTTACATTTGTGGTTAAAGGAAGGCGACTTGCTCTTCCTTAGATAACTTTCCGTGATCATCAACTCTCCATTATTCATTGTAGCCATAATTTCGTCAGCTCACCAGCTGAACTTGATATGTCTGATCCTCTTGGTGGTCGTAGATTTGTTAATCGGCCTTAATTTTGGATTCTTATTTTGAGATGGAATATCAGATTTAAGATCTTTATGAATCTTGCTCTTGCTCCTGGCTTGTTTCATCATATTACGCTTGTTTTTGTACTCCTATCTTATCAAAGGATGACCCTACCTCAAATCCAAGTGATTTCTTGCTAGTCTCGTACTGAGAAACATACTTGTACTTGTCAATTGGAGGCTGAGAAACGGATTTGTTGCCATAAATATAGTCTCATTGAGGCTTTTCTACAACATCTGTATGCTGACTTTCCTTCCCTTCACGGAAGTCCCAGTTGAATTTATGGAACTAAATAGTTTAAAGAGGTCCTTACTGATTCTACCAAAGGTAGATTAATGTTTTCTGCTTCAGCAGCCTCTGCTATTTTGCCTCGGATATAGTCATAGTCTGGCTGTTCAAAAATGGCCATATTCCTGATGTAGTCGACCATCTCAAAGATCGGATCAGGGAGATTCCCTCATAACTCCTCATTTGTAGAATTTTGTTTTCTTTTCATAATTCTGAAGGTAAAAGCAAAGCAATTACGTGTAGAATTTATCTTCAACTTTAATGTTTTCCCAAGGTAAGGATCCTATCCAAATTTTTCATCGAAATACATAAGCTTACCTTTTAGAAGATGAAGAAGCATATAAATAGCACCTTCGATATCATCTTTCTTGAATCACTCCTCCCATCCCAAGTGTTGGTTAACACTCGCATAGTTAGGGGTTCCAGAGAGGGATACACATTCTGGTCTTGAAATATGCAGAGGGATATTTGGGCCTCTAAAGTTACTAACTTTCTTGGCTAGGCCAAAGTCTATTACATATAGGACGTTCCAGCCCCTTCCAGTTCCAAACATCAGATTGGCTGGCTTTATATCCCCATGAATATAGTTGTATGAGTGGATAACTTGCAACCGGTTAATCAGTTGAAGACTAAGCATTAAGATATTCTCCAGCGTGAATCTGTTAAGAAGTTTGGATACGAACTTCAAAGAGTTCCCTAACTTCTGCATAATGTAGTAATTGTAGTCATTGCATTTCCCTTTCTGAATGAACTTGGGAAATCCGCGAGATTTAGGCCCTGATGATATCTTATTTCATTATCTAAGCCAAGTCAAAAATTACACTCAATCTAACTTACAAAGATTTCATTTTTAAACCTTGATGTGGAAAGTTGAGCCTGTGGTACAATTTTCATTGCTATAAAGGAACAATTTTTGAGGTCGATTCCACTAAAGACATGTCCATGAGTGCCACAGCCGATCTTTTCCTCAATCTTGAACCTCTTGCCGATGATGACCTCCTCGCTCTGTGCTCACTTGCTCTTCTTCGACTTGGCTAGATAAAATGTCAACAAATTTTGCAAGTTATTGTCAGAATATAGACATTCGTAAAATTTAAGAAATACTGTGAAGATTACTGTCAAATTAAGAATTTAAAAGAGATTTATAATCTCTTATTTATTACACAAATTTTAGCAATATTTCATTTCCAACAAGGATCCTTCCTACTTTAGTGAAGGATATAAACATCATGAGGTCAAAACATGATAATATATTGGAGAGGATATTCGTGAATATCACTCATTTTTCAGGTACCATAATACACTTATACCGTAACTCTAACAAAAAGGTGCCTTTAGCCTACCATTTTTGCCAAATATATATTTCTGAGCAATAGTTGGTAGGTTAATAGCTATTTTTGAAATAAAAGACAACGAATGGTTGAAGCTAAGTCATCGAACGAAACCCCTTATGTTAGACTGTTCTGTCACTTCAGTTATTAACAATACCTGAGATAGTCCTTTCCCAAATTAAAATTACTGTATTTTCAGGGAATAAACTCGCTTGAATTTTACGCTTTTGCATATATAAATTTTCTGAAAATATTCATATTTCGGGTTATAAAACTGATGTAAAGTGAATTAATAGGAAGAAGAATTTATTAAGAATTTTACAGAATAGTAGATATAATGAGGGAATTTGATGCTCTCCACCAAGGAATCAATGGTCGTACTACTAAAGCCTAGCTGGGCCACTACATTCTGGAGTGGCCAGATTAGACCAGTACAAGAGTTTTTCTTTACAAAGACCACAGGCTTTTTCAATTATAATATTATGGGATGATTTTATTGTATTTATCAGTGATTTTAGGAAAAATAAGCAGGTTTAGAGACCCAAATTGCATATTATTTCTAAATTTCAGCTTACAAATTCTTAGATTTAGCCTAGTATATGTAAATCGATACTATTTTTGCATCAAAATTTCAGGATTAAGCGACTATTTTTGGTAAAATTTTAGGCATACTCGCCTATTAGATATTTTCTAAGAGATCTTTAAGTGTATTATGTGATAAAATATGAAATTTTCATGGGATTTTGATGGCAAAGAATAACATGTCATATAAGCAATAATTTTCCTCAGCAAAGATGCTAGATAAAAAGTATCAATCTTCATGGTTCTGGGTTGGAGGTACTAGGAGACATTGCGAATAAAAGAAACTTCAAACATACCTTTATCGTCCTTTTCAAGAGCTTCTTGGGGGTTCTTTATAAGCTCTAGTTTATCTTCTTCATATTTATCTCACATTGTAATAATATTATACAGTCCAATTTCGATAATTTATATGGGGTTTTGGGGTTTTGGGGTTTTGGGGTTTTGGGG